TGATCTTTATTTTTGTTCCAATCTACTATACTGGTTGATTACTGTTGCTATTTAATATAGTCTGAAGTCAGGGAGTGTGATATCTCCATTTTTCTTCCCTTAGGATTGTTTTAGCTATTCAGGCCTCTTGTGGTCTCGTACGAAGTTTATCATTATTTAATCAGTTTCTGTAAAAAAAGTAATTGAGCAGTGGCTAGCTTGCAGTGAGTGCTGCTTCCTCACCCATTTGTGCCACCGGGGAAGACTGGCTTGTAATTTTTTATAATATTTTGGTAAGTTCCGTTTATTCCCATTTTATTGAATTTTTTTTTAAGATTTATTTATTTTTTCATACAGAACTGGGGTACAGGCCAGAGATGTGGAGGGTGAGAGGATTCACCAGGGACAGAGTGGGGAGCAGAACAGGCAGACTGATGAAGTACACTGCTGAGGGGAGCGGCGGGCGGGTCAGGAGAGGTCTGCCTCACCGTGTGAATCTCCTCCGGGGCAGGCGGGGATCGAACTCATGCGGAAGTGGCTTAAGCTTCTTGGTGCAGTGCTTTAACCCACTGCGCCACCAGGGAGGGCCTTTATTGAGTGTTTTTATTGAATCACATCAAATGTGTTTTCAGAACCTATTGAAATGATCATGATTCTTAGCTTCCTTTTTGTTCACCTGGTGAATGAGATTGGTTATTTGTGTGTGTAGATCCTGCCTTGCATCCTTTAGGGGGGGGAAACCTACTTGATCATGGTGGATGATTCTCTTAATATGTTGCTGTATTGGCTTGCTAGGATTTTTGCAACAGTGCTAATCAGGTTATCAGTCTATAGTTTTGTTTTTTTTTAAAGATTTATTTATTTATGCATACAGAACTGGGGTACAGGCCTGAGGTGCAGTGGTGGTGAGAGGATTCACCAGAGACACAGTAGAGAGCAGAACAGGCCAACTGATGAAGTACACTGCTGAAGGGAGCAGCGGGTGGGTCAGGAGACGTCTGCCTTGACATGTGGATCACCTGGGGTTGGGGTGGGGGTGGGGGTATGGAACTCATGCTAAAGTGGCTTTGGCATCTTAATGCTGTGCTTTAACCTGCTGAGCCATCAGGGAGGGCCCTATAGTTTCTTTTTTAGTACTGTCTTTGTTTGGTTTTGGGTGTCCTCATAGAATGTGTGGAGGGTTTTCCACACTCTTCAGGTTTTGTTTTGTTTTTGAAGAATTTGAATAGGAAAGGTATTAAGCTTACTTAGGAGATTGTAGAATTCACTGGAGAAACTATCTGGCTTTTAATCTTAGACTTTATTATTACTCTCTCAACTTCTATGCTTATGATTGGACTGTTTAAGCTACTTCACCTTGATTCATTCTTGGAAGGAAATTTGAATCTAAAAATTTGTCCATTTTAGGGGGCCTCCCTGGTAGCATAGGAATTAAAGTCTCGGCACTACCAAGCTATCAGCAGCCACTGCAACATAAGTTTGATCCCTAGCCAGAGAGCTGACCCATATGACACAACAGACCTCTCCTGTCTGGCCTGTTGCTCTCAATGTATTTCAGTAGATGGACCTGTTTTACTCCCCACTCTGTCTCTGGTGAATCCTCCATCCTCCCCACACCTCTGCCTTGTATGCATAAATAAAAAAAATAAAAAAAGAACTTAAAATGTTCATTTCTTCTAGTTTGTACAGTTTGTTTGCATTGGAGATATTTGAAGTAGATTCTTTTAATACTTGGTATATTACCTCAGCAACTTAAAATTTCATGTCTTTCATTTCTGGTTCTATTTGCTTGGACTTTATTTTTTAAAAAAGATTTTAAAAATAAAATTCTACAAAATTATTGTTCAAATGTGAAGGTGAAATGAAGGCTTCCCCAAACAGAAGCTAATTATTTATTTATGCATACAGAACTGGGGTACAGGCCTGAGGTGCAGAGGTGGTGAGAGAATTCACCAGAGACACAGTAGAGAGCAGAACAGGCCAACTGATGAAGTACACTGCTGAAGGGAGCAGCGGGTGGGTCAGGCCAGAGGTGCAGGGGTGGTGAGAGAATTCACCAGAGACAGAGTGGGGAGCAGAACAGTCAGATCAACGAAGTACACTGCTGAGGGAAGCAGTGGATGTGTCAGGAAAGGTCTGGCAACATGTAGATCACCTCAGGGCCGGCGGGTGGGTTCAAACTCATGCTGAGGTGGCTTCAGCTTCTCAGTGCTGTGCTTTAACCCGCTGCACCACCAGGGAGGGCCTGTTTGGATTTTCTCTTAGTAAATCTAGCTAAGATTTATTTTTCTAAAAACCAGCTCTTGATTTCACTGATCTTTTGGACTGTCTTTTTGGTTTCTACTTCATTTATTTCTGCTCCAATTTTTTCTTTCCTTCTACTGATTTTTGAATGTTTGTTCTTCCTCCTCTGGTTCCTTCAACTTTAAATTGTTTATTTCTTGCTTTTGTGTGTGTGTGTGGGCCTGTACTGCTATGAAATTCCCTTGTGGCACTGCTTTAAGAGCCTCCCATGGGGTCGGGTAGCTGTCTGTCCATTTTCACCGGTCTCCAGATATTGTTAAAATTTATTTACTTTCAGTTTTAGATGGATATCTACCATCAGTTCTTCTGTTGGGGGGACTTTTGTTTATCTTTCTGTTGCCTTTTCCATTTATTTCTCTTTGCTCTTTCACTTGGATATCTTTCTGTAGTGGCTGGTTTTTTTTTCTGTGTGCATCTATTTTAGACTTTTGTTAGTGATTACCACCCAGGCTCTACCTAACTTAAAGCCTTTTTGCACTGTTGTCAGCTCACTGACATTTGACTGGTCAGGTTCTGTCCTTCATTCTGTTTGGTGTTCAGGTTCTGTCCTTGATTCTGTTTGGTGTTTTCTCGTTGACTCAGGATTCTTGTTCATCTTGTCATTTTTCTTGGGGGTTTAGATTTCATTTTTTCTTGTAAACAATTTTCAACATTGCTTATAAGGGCAGGTCTGGTGTTGGTAAATTTCATTAGCTTCTGTTTGGGGAAGCCTTCATTTCACCTTCACATTTGAACAATAATTTTGTAGAATTTTTTTTTTAAAAGATTTTATTTAGAGGTATACAGAACTGGGGTACAGGTCAGAGGTGCAGGGGCAGTGAGAGGATTCAGCAGAGACAGAGTGGGGAGCAGGAACAAGCAGATTGATGAAGTACACTGCTGAGGGGAGCAGTGGGCAGGTGTGGGTCACCTCCGGGGCCTGGAGATCAAACTTGCACTGAAGTGGTCATGGCCAGCTTCGCAGTGCTGTGCTCCTACCCACTGCACCATCAGGGAGGGCTCAATGTTGCAGAATATTCTTAACTAGCAGTTCTAGGATTTCAAATACTTCATTCCACTCTCCTTTTGCCTGCAGGGTGACTGGGGCAAAAATCCAAAGAGCCGAATTTGAATGCCTTAGTAAATTATCTTTTCTTCTCCTAGCTTTAAATATTTTTTTTCCTTTTTGCAAATTCAACAATGATGTCTTGTAGGTCATTTTGGTTTAGAAATGTGGTGGTTCTCTTCCTGGACATCCATATTTATTTCATTTCCTTCCTTGGGCTTGGAAAGTTGTTCTTTCTTTGAATAGATAGGCTCTCTGTACACCCTTCTTGCTTCATGAACCCTGTTTCTTCTAATTGATTCTGGTAGTTCTCATGCTTTTTTCTTATGTCTTTTTCTCATTGGGTGATTTGTACATGAGTCTTTGATTTCTGAAATTATTTTCCCTGCCAGTTTAATTCTACTTGAAACTTTGTGTATTTGTCTTCATTTCAGTGTTTTCAGGTTTTTAATATTTTCATTCTCTTTAGTGAAGAACTGTGTTCCTTTCTAAGATCGCTTGCATCTAGATACCTGCTTTTGGCTCATCTTCTAGTAGCTCACTTATTTTTAGTGTCTGTCTGATAGATCGTTTGTGTCCTGAGTACACCTCCAGAACATTTTTTTTTGCTGCCTCCTTGTGTTTTTTTATGGTTGGGTGACTGGGTTTTTCTATTCCTAGTGTGATGTAGGGGCAGGAATAGAGTCTAGGACTTAAATGCTGTTTTGTTGAAGCCTGAGGCTGAGTACTTCTGCTTTCCCTCTCCATAAGTCTTGGGGTGCAGGCAGAGGGTGCCCAAGTAGTGTTCCACTGCCCAGCTATTGCAATAAATCTGTGGCTACTTGTGCAGCCATTACTGCCCTATTGAGGACCATGGACGAATGTCTGGTAATTTTGCATCAAATTCTCTCACCATTCCTTATCTGCCTTTGGCCTGCAGTCAGGTGTGGCATGGCTCCACCTGAAAGGGCTGGGATGGGGGGGGGGGGGCAGAGTTCCCCTTACCTGTGCCCATCTCCCACCATCCCCATCCCAGCAGGCTAGACCCTTACAGTTGCATCCCCCTAGGTGGCTCTGTGGCTCAATGGGTAGTGCATTGGACCTAGTAACAATTGCATTCCCTTTCTGGAAAGTCCCTCCCCCCCTCTGGAGAAATTCACTATAAAACCAGAAGGCTCAACCTGTTTTGCAAGTTGTAGTTAGCTGCTTTTCACCATCTCTTCTGACACTGTTTATAGGGGAGTGTTCGCAGTGTCCTTTCACAATGACCATATACCTCTGGCCTACCTACACTGTAGTTTTACACAATTAAAAAATGTGTAGTTCAGGTTTTTTAGATATTTACTTAATTTATGCATACAAGAACTGGGGTGTAGGCCAGAGGTGGGTTGGAGGTGGTGAGAGGATTCGCCAGTGGGAAGAATAGGCAGGTAACTCAAAACACTGCTGAGAGCAGTGAGCCAGACAGCAGTGCTGTGCCACTAAGTAGCTGGTGATAAGTTCTTAGTGTTCAGTCACACCAGCCACTGCAGTATGTGCAGTTCAGCCTGGGAGCCGTAGAATATGGCACAGCAGACCTCTCCTTTCTGGCTTGCTGCTGCTCCCCACCTTGTCTCTGGTGGATTCTGCCTGTGGCTTGTAAATTCAATTCCTTCATAACTTGTGCACAGTACTTAAGTCACACACAACCACATCAAGTATCACAATGTTTATTGATAGATACAAGTATATAAAATCAGGGCATGAACATGACTTGATAAATTAAGTAGACTTAATTTCAATACTATAATAAGAGGGACCAATTCAAATTCTCACCATTTGTTTCACACCCACAAAACCACTTCAGGGCATTAACGATCTCTCAAAACTGATCAGTTTTGTGCAAGTAAACCATGTTTCTTTTAAAAAGACTTGTGCACTTGCCCAGGCTCAAGGATATTAAAATCTAGCACATAAAGCCCATTACTAGAGGTAGAAATACAGGCAATATACTATTACGGCAACAACCATCAATTACAGTTAAGAATTTTTCTGTAACAACCAAATGGATAATCAAATATTGCAACAACTCAAGTATTACTGAGCAAAGTGCATTTCTACAGTATTCAGTGTTGCTATTCAGTTTTCTAACTTAAAACAGCCTATGATAACTGGCAGCAAAGAAGGTCCTTGCAATAGACTGCTTCCGCTTGAGAACTTATGATGTAATTATTGCATGCTGCTAATATACTATCTAAACATTAAAGATACTCCTAAAATATTTGATGGTAGACTATGATTAAGACATTACACTACAAAAAAACCTTACGCAGAAGGAAATCCTAACTGACGTGCTTCTGCTTTAAATATTGTGAAAACATTACAGCGGAATGAATTTTCGCAGTGGTTAGGTCAAATGCAGTTACATCATAGCAACAGTATGTTTTGCACAATTTAAGGCTTTGGCTGGTTCTTTAGTCAGCTTCTTCCTCTGATTCTTCTTCTTCAGCAGTTTCTAGCCAGGTTAGCCACTGATTTACCTGTTAATTTAAATTTAAGTGGTATTTACAAAATAAAATATAAAATACAAGTCTTGGTTTAGGATCAAACTAGCAGGTACACCCAAGAATGAAACTCCACTCTTCAGAACATACTGCGAATGTACTATTTGCATATTGGCTTTCAGTTATTAAAAGGGGTGTGATACCTCGTTTGGATTTAGCATAATACACAAGCTGTTTATGGCCAGTTAACAGAGGTAAGTAGACCTCCAGCCCTATGCAAAGTGCTACAAGCATGATCGCACGAAGTTATGTGACCCTCAGGAGCAAAGTAAGACTATATACACCGGTGTTTGTTTCCCTGGAAAATGATGAATTGACTGGATATTAAACGTACATCAGAACTTCTGGGACCAGGCCTAGAATGTACTTTTGTAAGAGGTCAGTCAGTATCTTAAGTTCTTCACCTCCTTTGAATTCCTTTAAGTATCAAGGTGAGAATAAAAACTGGAAGCAAATCTCCTTAACTGGTAAAAACCAATATTTTACCCTTTAATCAAACATGTTTTACAGCAGTAGGGTCAAAGGCTTCCATTTCAATGCCTTACTGTTTTGTTGCTAACTGCCTCCACTTGGTAGCTAAAACTTAAAGACAGTTTTAGGACTCAAAAGTCATATTCCCTAGCAAAACATTTACCTGGAACAAAGCCTTGCCTTTCCCTGGAAATTCTTGGGTTATATCTTCTTTCCAAGCTAAGAAAGCTTCTTCTTCAATAATTTCCATGTCATAGAAGTGAACAAAAAAGCGGAGTAACATGCCTAAAAAAATAAAGTGCAATTCTAGTTAGTTAGTGTACTGTTAAGAATTTCCTCACGTTTACTGTTCTTCTGATTGCTCCTCTTACCTTTTGGGAAGTTGCTGTTGTAGCAGTGCACCTGCAGAGCATACAGGGCACTGACCTGTAGATCAACATGATCATGAAGGAATTTCTGCATTACTGGCTTGAAAGAAAGAAGCAATTGTTTTTCCTGCTCTAATTGTTCTTTGGAAGGAGCAGAGGAAGAATCTGTTTCATCACTGGGTGGGTTTACTTCACTAGAAATATACTGTAAGAAGCTGAAAAAATTGAGAGCTTGTTAGAGCCCAGAAGTGAATCTGGCTCAAAAAACAATCTGTATGATGACTACATATAAAAAACAACTCTTAAAAAGCTTACCTAGTCATTAAGATGTTCACAAATCCTTTATCTACATGAAGTTTGGGAGAGATGTTATCTTTAATCCACTTATATATAGTTTGAGGAGATGGATCCAACTTTATTTGTTTTAACAGTTCCTTCTCTAATTTGAGAAGTGGGAATAAGAAACTCAGTCCCTTTCCTTCTAAAATTTCCAACATCCGGTCCTTATTCTGATCAATTTCTGAGAAGACAAAGTCATTTGTATTATTAGTTCAGTTGGCCTGTACAAGATCAAAATTTTAACCAAGAAGTCCCCAAATGCCTAAATAAAAGAACTAGCCCAACAAAGGGAACTCCCTCAACAATAGATCAAATAAAGTACTTAAATTGTAATAACCTTTTTGTAAGGACTATGTGTGGTAATTACAGTGCCCAAACTAAATATAATCTATGCAAAGTACAGGATTATCTCTAAACATAGTATTAAAAAACAAAAAGATGCCCAGAATTGACTTACCTGGGAGCATTTTCTGCATATTGACCTTGCTTTGTTGAAAGAGTTCTGTTAACCACTCTCGATCTTGTAGTTTAGCTAATTGCTGAAGACAAAGTAAGAAGAGAGGAAAATGGGTGCCACTTTCCAGTGGTTGAGCCAGTTCTGAAATGCTCACCAGCTCTGAAATGATGGCACGAGCTGCAAACTGTGCTAAATATGATTTCACCAAGGGGATGTCAACCTCCAGTTTGGGGCACTGGTCCAATACATTCAGGAAAGCCTTAGGAAGGAAATACAGATAGTCAACTCACTAGCTTTCAAATTGAAACAGAAAGTGTTCCCATAGAATCAAAATGTGTTCTACCTGCATGAAGTTGTCGCTTGTGGCTATCCCTTCCTGTTTGAGTAAACTGATCAAAGAACTTGCTTTTTCTTTATCTTCATCACTTCTGTCCAGTGACAAGATGATTACTTTGCTTAACATCTCAGGAAGAAAGTGTTTTGGAGCCCTCATTTCTCTTACACCATTGACAGCTTCGTTTACATTTCCACTATTCAGATACTCAGTCACAACAGTTTCCTAAAAAGAGATCAAGTATCTTTAGTATTTTCCTATCTCAAACATACTTCAGCATTAGCCTATGGGGTTATTTGGAACTTACAGTTAATTTAAGTAATTCTTCCTTTGATGGTGGTGGCTTCTTACTGGTCTTAGCAGGCTTTTCCTGAATAAGTGGTGGATTAGTTTTGAGACCAAGCTGAGGTGTCTATAAATAGAACATACCAGGAATAAATGTTTGAATTTTTAAAAGGCGCTTGTGAATCTAAATTTAGGCAGTTATAGGAAAGTATGGGAAAGGGAGGGGGCGGGGGGGGGGGAAATCACACAATCTGCACCTGTCCCAGAGGTGGCGTTTGAGTGCGTGGTGGTTGTGCACTAGGAGGAATCATAGTTATCTGGGGCTGAAGCTTTGGCACTTGATTTTTGTTCATTAGGAACGACTGAGCCGGTCTCAGGCTAATCTAGAATTGAAAACAATCAGAACAGATATTCAGAAGTCAACAACATGCAGTTGGCTAACATGAAATGCAACAAACATTCTAGCATCCTATGATTCAGTATATACAAACGTGATCAAATCTAAGGTACAAATCCAAATTTCTCAGGTAACTAGAAAAGGTTACCCTATTTTAATAACAGGTTAAACTGGCAAGAAAATATAAGATCTGATACACAAGATACAATTTTAAATCACTTATGTGTACCATAATATTACAACATAAACAAAAACCCAGAAAACATAAGAGTTTAGAAAATGTCTTGCTTATTCTATTTACAGGGAAGTCACAATCAAAATCTTGACAACCATTCTCCTTGCTCTATCTGAAGACTTTTAAAGAGGCTTGCCCTCATATCTCATAATCTTCGCTCATAGGACGCTGGACTCCAAAGAAAGAAACAGAAGTACAGAAAAGAGAGAAAAAAGATCAAGAGCTCCAGCATTAAGTCCTCTTAATAACGCGTCTTTTTATAATCATCGGGCAATTGATTTCTAATTGACAAACTATTGTTAAGTAAGTAACATAGGCAAATGTACCTCATCTGCATTAAGCTGTCCTTTCTTAGAAAACCGAGGTGGCATATCCTTCGACTGTCCTTGCAGCTGGGATAAGAGTCCCTGACTCTGGTTATGGTAGAGCTGGCTTAGCCCCTATTTCAGAGAGGGAGAAAGAAAGTCTAGATAAAAAGGGGTCCACAATTATGGTAATCAAGTACCAAAGGGATGAGCCAAGCCATAGGAAAGCTTAACTGAATTTGCCCAGAGAAAGTAAAAGAAGAAATAGGAAAGAGTAAAACTCTAGCCTGACTGTCAAAGATGTGATTTTACTAATCTTAAGGATAAGCATTTTACCCAGTTTGATATAACTTTCAGGTTTAAATTTCAGCTCAGAAAAACATGATCTAAATATATCTTTTAAAAAGCAGAAATAATGTACATTGCAGAAGTTAGTACTTGCTGCTGAAACATTCATGCTGTTTTCTTACCTGGCTTTTCATAAACTTGCCTCCCATCTCTCCAAACTGCGATTGTGTCGGAGGCATAATGTGTCCCCCATGGCCATTGAAGAGTTGATTTGAACGATGACGCCCCATGGTGGGTGAAAATCTATCCTGGATAACTCCTGGACCAGTACCAATTCCGCTCCCTTAAAATACATATAACTTTTAAAACTTTCTATTAAAATGTTAGAGACCTTTTCCTTTAAATTGTTGTCAAAATTACCTGGCATTTGTCCAAACATATCAGCAAGTCCTCCAAGTGGGTCCCTATCCATTTTCATCCTGGGTGGCATGAACGGTCCCTCCAGAAAGAAGTCACTTCTCATCCCTTGAGCCATAGGAGGAGGAATAAACACTCCTAGGTCCTTTAGAAACAAAGTAAATAATCACTTGGCTTCTGAATACTATTATGTAAAACTATGAAAGGGTACACAGTTATTTATAATTTCTTTACAAAATGGCGTAAAAGGTATTAAAAACAGTAAGTCCCACACCAAATAAAGAGGAATCCTTAGCTACTATCAACTTAAAACCCACTTGTAAGAAAAATTACTTACTTTTACTGCATCTTGACGGATTTGATTGATCGTCTTTGGTCCATTGTCAAGAAAAGCCTTGCGAGGAACCCAGTGGTGTTCTCGCAACTCTACGGTATCCTTTAATTAAAAATAGTTTCAGTTTTATTTATTATTCCTCTCTTAAAAAAGATCATCTTACCAACATAGTTGAAGGCTTTACCTGCAGCAGGAAACGAATCCTCGCTGGCAATTCCTTACTTAACATCAAGGAGCACATTCGGGCAAAGTACTGATCCATTAAGGACTAAAAGAAATACATAATTAGAATAAAGTGTTAGGGAAATGGGTACTATTTAAAGGCTTCTAGAATGTCTAAGGTTATAGCTAAGATTAATGCCTGAAGAAAGCAATACCCTGTATAACATGTCACAGAAAAATCACAAGTAAAATGAATCATACCATTCTGTCAGCCAATACTCATACCTTGGCTCGTTCATGGTCTAACCTAGGTCCCACTGTCCTCATTATCTGACAGAGGCACTCCAAATCCTCTCCCATATCTTTGAGCTGGACTCTCTTCTTCTTTTCCAAAAGCTATCAAAAGAAATATCACATATTGGCCAATATATAGGATGTCACACTTACAATTTGTTTAAAAGAATTCCCAATTTAACAATGTTTACCAAAATCAGTTCTAATCCTATCTTGCAGAACAAAACACTTCGACAGAATTTAAGGAACACGTCATGACCACCCAAAAAATAAGCCTAAATTACCAATTATACTTACTGTTTTGATGCACTTATGAAGGATAGATTCATGAATAAGATCAAGCTTTCCAAGTTCTCCAATGAATTTGATGTTCCCCAACATCTTGATCTTAGCAATGGCTCTCTGTTCCTCCTCCTCTGGGAGGAGGGGATTTTCACGCTTATCATAGACTGAAAAAGATATATAATGAAGTCAACATTCAAATTAAGTCGAGAATATACAGTTATACAAAGTACTGAATTTAAGTTCTCACCATCAACATTTCTGGTTCGGTTTTCAAATTCATCTTGTAATTTGGAAATTAGGAGGCGTCTGAATGTCTGTTGCAAAGACAAACATAGCAGGTTTTGCTATGAAATCTTTCAGTTAACTGTAAAATGAAGTAAGTGAGCAGACACTACCACTTACTGTGCTTTGCTTCTGTCCTGGTTGACCCTCTGCTGCTGGGCCATCAAAGTTTGGTGCATCTTCTGCCAATCGCAGACATAGCTGAGCATACAGTGAGCTATACTTTGGCTCTTCGAGGGCTTTGTCGACAATCTATAGGGAAAATGTCAAGTTTCATATCTTATTATTGACTCATTATCTACTAACATCCACACAAGGAAAACAAAAACTCTCCAATCAAATATCAACTTAAAATTCACCTCTATACACAACTTATTTAATCTGTATATGTTATGACAACTTATTAAATTTAAAACATTAAATGTATTTCGATTTGTGTACTCATAACCACCATAGTTTTCTAATGTTTAAATAATGTTATGTTGTAAAATAATAAAATTTACCTCAACCTGATGCCATTGTTAAGTTAGTGGTTCTTTTTATGACCACCAGTAAGTATTCAAAACTTATCAATCTAATACACCGACTCAGTTCAAGGCAGTCATACAGTCTAATATAAAACTTCGAGTTGTTAAGTATGTCCTCTTATCAAAATTTAACTTACCAGCAGTATGACCCCTTTAAGGATGAGTTTAGACTCTACACCCACATTGAGGAGCTCAAGGCATAGCTTGTCAAACTTTTCAGGAGTAAGCTTATTTAGTATGCTGAGGGGGGGTGGGGAGGGAGAGAGAGAAGAAATCACATTTTAAGTGTCAACCAACACAAACACAAATAATTTAAAAAATTAAGTTTCTCCCATTATTTCCCTTTAAGACACAGCTTCCTTTCCTACCCATCTAGCCATGTATCAAAGAGATGTATCAAAATACAATTATAGGTTATACTTGAGTGGAGGTCCCTAGCTCCTCAACAGAAATCTGTGCTTCATCAGATTATACACTAGGCATGTAGAATGTTTGTGAAACTTTAAGCCAACACTTATTAAATACCCCCAAATACTAATGTGTTGCCTCCAACTTGATAGTATAGTCAGCACTGGCATTCATTAAAATATATGTGTTGGACACAAACATTGCCATTTATCTAATATTCCACACATGAGTTACCCCTCTACTGGGAAAGGACAAGGAGACAACTTACCCTCTTACTTTCCTGAAGATTGCATCATGTCGTTCTTTTTCGTTTGCGGAGTTGTTTGCTGCGGAGTTGTCATCTCGTCTAGTGCTTCGTGCAGGAATCCATTTCTGAGCGTTTTGCCCTGGGGTTTTCCCCAGGAACTCGCTAGTAAATTCAAAAAGATTTGTAATAAAGATTAAGGTAACTTAAAAATGTAGCATCATCAAAAAGCTCAGAAATCCTTCTGAATGGGGGGGAAAAAAACACCAACCCAGGTTTTCTCAACTCTCCTCACAACTGAAGCGGTTCTCTAAATTAATTAAGAATCACTTGAACCCACCTCCCAAGTTTGTCACTGGTCTGGGACAGGACCTGATTACTTTATAATTTTAATAAGGTCCCAGGCAATTAATGCTGCTGGAGGTATGCAAGAGCCACACCTTGAAACCAGTATTTCCTAACTTATGATCACACTGTATGGACACCACTTTATTAATTACCAAGGGTAACCACTGACTTCAAAAATACTGTCAATGGAAATATCCAAACAGTAAGTAAAACAGGAGTTTAAGAGCCTCAACTGATCAGATGACATGGGTAAGGAACAATCAAGAGCTAATATTCTAAATTTAGAACCCATAGTAGAAACCTTGCCTATTAAGATATGGATTCCTGAAACCTGTTGTCGTAACTAACCTGTTACATGAGTGAGACAAGTAATCTAAATCTATTACTTTTAATAAAACATGTTCTATAGGTTTATCATACCTGTTGCCAGCAGTCTTGGGATAGTGCTGAGGTGCACCCCTACTTCCTCCTCCGCCCGAAGAAGCACTATTTCAAAGAAAAACGAAACCTTCAATTATGGTTCACTCAAGGGCCAAAGGGTCTTTTTAATCTATGTATTTTAGAAACTATCACAACCCTAGGCTTAATGAAAACTCTAATAGTTATCTACCCTTTACATGGCAATTAACAGGGATTTTACATTACACCTGCAGCACATTGTCAGATGTGGGGGTTGTGATTCTTTTGGTTTTGTGAATGTCTTCATAACAACTGCAAAAAGTAAATCTCAACATACCTGAAACGAGAAGCACCCCCTTCTGCAATCGCACTCTCCACTTTGGCGGCTTGACAACGAAGAATCTTCAAAAGAATAATATTAATGGATGGGGTGGGAAGGGAAGGGGATGGGAGAAATGAAAAACCTAGAATGAAAAAGAATACTACAGTTAGCTGCTGCTAAGATGCAGCTCTATCAACCATCCTGCAATATTAAATTTATTTCAGATCCCAGCACTGCAGTTGATTCAACTTTCACTGCATTGCAGATCTCCTCAGACTAAAATAGCATGTAGTGTCTTAACTGTTTAGCCACCCGGAAATTCCTGTGTTCGGGATGCAAGACTTCCTAGAAATATTTGAACATCAAGTCACATTATACCTCCTTTAAAAGTGGGCACTGAGATCTACAGAAAACCGAACTACCAACGTGGAAAACAGATAAATTTTTACCGCCTAAATAACGGGCTTAACCGAGATGGCTATGAAATAAAGATTGCTGAGCATTTTCTTCCCTGCCCATCCTTTGCATTCCTCCGCCCAGAGGGCACCCAGAAAGAGACACGGGTGTACGGTGGCTGACACAGAGCAGGCGGAAGACGAGGGCCCCAACATGGCAGCAGGAACCTCCGCCCCATTTTTTTCCCTTCCTGGGAACAAAAGAGCAGTGGCTTCCTCCCACCCGGGCTAGAGTTAGGGAAGTGCTTCCAACAGCCTCGCCGCGAAGCCGCCGGGGGCAAGTCTCGGCTGGGAGGAGCGGAGGCCGCCCCCGCCGGCCCAGCGCCCGGCTCTTTGTTCTCCAGGCAGGAAGGCGCTCTTCGTCCCACCCGCCGCCTCCAAGAGAGCCCCCACCCACTCTATAAACCCCCGGGGGGCTGACAGCCGACTCTGCGCTCCCTTCCCCACACCGACGGGGGACAGCCCCATTTCCTTCTTCCTCTCCGGCCCCAGGCGGGGCCCACCGGAGTGGCTCTTCGTCCCCTTCCGGCACCCGGGCCCAACATACCTCCCCACCGGGAGGCCGGGCTCCGGGACTCCTGCGCCTCGCCTGGTCCCGCGCCAACGGCCGGGACCCCCTGCCAGCCCGCGTTCCTCCCCGCGTGGCGCGCGCGGCGCCGCCACGCTCTCACCCCGTAAGCGCACACCCGCACCTCGGCCCGCCCCGGCCTTAAGAGACCGTCGCCGACAGCCACGATGACGCTTGGGGGTCCGTAAAGCTGCTGGCTTCCCTCTACTCTCTCAATAACGGAAAAGGAGAACAAAGACGAAGCATTTCCAGGTGCCCGAAACGTGGAGGAGACGATAAAAAGCGTCGCCCCGCCCGGCTCCGCCTGCGGCCGCCATTTTGTACTACTCGAGAAGAAGCGGCCAAGGCACGGCGGCCATTTTGGAGCGCTATACTCGGCGGCGGCGGCGGCGGCGGCGGCGGCGGCGTCTCCACTCACCTTCACCGAGAACTCAGCAGCTGCCACCGCAGCTGCCTCCTCAGGATCCGGTCGTCGGGGACGGGGAAGGAAGGGAAGGGGAACGGAAAACAAAAAAAGGGGGAGGGAAGGGGGAGGAAGGAGTCGGGAAAGGCTTAAAACTCTTCAGTTCAGAGGAATCGCTGCTGCAGCCACCACCCGGTACTCGCCGCCACCTCCATAGAGCTCCGACTCGCTGCTGGCGCTGAGGCGTGTCTGAAGCTGAACTTATCACTCTGGGGCAGCCGAACCCAGCAGAGCCGCCCCGAATGGCTCCTTCGCCACCCAATCAGCAGGCTGGTTGCTGTCCACCACCAATCCGCGCAGGGCGGTGGGGAGGAGCCACAGGCCAAGCTCGGTTGCGGCACAGCCCCGCCGCAGTGCGCAAAGCCTTATTCGCGAAAGCTCCAAAACCAAGCCAGCGGCGTAAGGGAGAACCGAGCGCCGTAGCGATGTGGGCCACTTGCGTAAAGTCGGAGAGCCCTTCTGAGTCTGCGTTGGTGTGGCTGTCTTATCTTCCCCCAAGTCTCTTTGTTCCCTGAGTCTGTACTCCATGCTCAAGTTATACAACCCTTTCCCCCCTCTCTCGTTTTCTCATCGGGAATGTGGGAAGAAAACTCGTCCTCTCCTTCTCTACCCGATTCCTTTCATCGCCTGTCAGAGCACTGATTTTGCGGGCGCCCCAAAGACCCTGGGTTGCCCCTCGCAGGCCAGGTTTGTCCGGTACTGGCCTGTGGAATTGAGGCATGGCGCCCCCCGGCAGGGCGCTGGGAATCGCTGCGGGTCTCCAGGTGCTCGTCTTAAGCCGCTGAGGGTGGGGGTGCTAAGATAGTAGGGTTTGAGACGAGACGGTGCACCCAAATGCGTGAAGAACCCATTACCAACCTTTTGTAATGTGACTGAAAAAGGTTAAAAGAAAGGGTTTCTTGTCTTTGTACCTTGCACAAGCAGCAGCTTTCCCCCGATGGTATATTCGGTCAGCGGCTACGAAGGAATACAATACCTAGAATGTACCACACTTCTTGGGAAGAAGTGTCTGTGGAATGCTGAGGTTTGGAGCATTTTTGTTGCTAGCTCCTAGTTTTTGGTGTATTTTGTTTTTCACAAGCACGTTGAAAACTGTCAGCTGCGTATTTCCACTTTATGTAAGGTTTATCATAACAAACAGGATTAGGCTTTGCAAAGCCGGCAGGTTAAACTATTTATACTTAACATTTTATGGGAAGGATACCGTAAAACAAAGTGCTCGATAGTTTGTGACATCTTAGCCATTCAAACAAGATTTCTTGTTTCCATATATAATCAAATTTTCCCAGCTCCATTTTAAAGATAGTTCTTGATAAATTGTGAAATCTAAAGCAAGAAGGGTGTGTGTGTGTGACCTGCATGACTTTCAAAGTGTCCAATAAAGAGCAGAATTTTCAAAGAGCCAAACATATTTGACATGTCAAAACAGCTCTTGGTGTTGAAAGCATCTAGTCCTCAATACAATTTTCAAAAGTTGCATAGATTTTTCCTAGGACTTTTAAATCTGATAATAGAAGGTTGTGGTGTGCTCTGATGATTTCTAACACAACTCCAGCTTTAGATGTTTACCATACAGTAAACGGATGATCCTACTCCCTCCCCTTTATTACAATTATTGCTATTAAGTCACTTTCACATGAATTTTATTAACTGGGAAAGCTTATTCTTCCTCCTGGAGTTACATGTTTCTTAAAAAAGGAAACTATTGTTGGGAAAGGTACAAACTGTGTTTCAGATATAAGAGGTTTCACTTTGTATTTTAGGATCCACAAGCTTAAATTAATACTACCATAATTTCTTTATAAATTCTGTAGGACTTAGGGTTTGCAAAAATACTTTCACATATGTGTTATTTTACATAACGATTATGTTCTTCACTATTGATAATGAATACATTAATCTCTAAAAAACTAGCTCAAAAACACCATTCCAGTGTAGATTTTGAAGAGAGTATTAACTGAGTCCTAAAATTTGGATAGCCCTGTAACTGTGGAACTTGAAACAATGATTAAATATAAAGGAAAGTTTTACTCAATATTTTATTTAATCTTTGCTAATTGTGAATCCTTCTGAGATGGGCTTTGCAGTTGGATGTGTGAAAAATTGGTCTGGGAGAAAGTAACCCGAGGTACAAAAAGTGAAAATCTTTTAATTGCCTTTCTCTTTATTTTTTTAAAGATTTATTTACTTATGCATACAGAGCTGGGGTACAGGCTAGGGAGTGGGGGTAAAAGGCCCACCAGAGACAGAGTGGGGCACAGAACAGGCAGATTAACAAATACACTGCTCAGGGGAGCAGTGGGTAAGCCAGGCAAGGTCTACTGCACCATCTGGGTCACCTCCCTGGCCAGTGATCCAACTTATTCTGAAGCGGCTGCGGCTAGCTTCGTGGTGCTATACTTTAACCAAATGTGCCATCAGGGAGGGTCCCCAATTGCCTTTCTTTTTAAAAAAATATATTTACCTATTAGAAGAGCTGGGGTGAAGGCCAGATGTGCGGGGGGTAGGAAGATTGACCAGAGACAAAGTAGGGAGCAGAAAAGGCAGATGTACTGAAATATACTGCTCAGGGGAGCAGCGCGTGAGACAGGTAAGGTCTGCTGCGCTATGTGGGTCAGCTCCCTTACTGGGGATGGAACTGGCTATAGAAGTGACAGCACTTTGAGACTCAACCTCAAACCCTAGGCCACCAGAGAGGCCCCTCAATTGCCTTTCAACTGGTAGAAGAGATAGGCATTCACAATTTTGAAATGTTTCTGTCATATCATAAATGTATGAAAATTCAAGACATTGTCTGGGATTTAGCTTTTAGTTTATAGGAAATTGAATTTTAAATACATCCACTTCAATCTGCTAGTTTTAACACTTCCATTTTATGTTAATTTTCTATGAAAATTTCTTAAGCTTGACTGACTTGATAACTCATACATTTTTGCATTACTTCAATCAGTTATGTTAAATGTTGGTTATTATTCTAATACATATAACTTCTGTGCTTAAGAATTTTCTTTGTGCTTAATGATTCCTTAATGATACATCTCTGGCCCAGATCTCAAACTCCAAATCTGAATTTCCATAAGCCTATTGACCAAAGATGCAAGCTTGTAGCCATATTTATATTTAATTTCTGCCAAAAAGTAATTTTAGACATTTGGATTAGCTGAAATTAAAATTCTAGATTTTACATACAAATCCAGATAGCCATTTTTTTAATGAACAACCTTAAAATGTGATGATGTTGGGCCTGAAATTGCAACAAAGAAACCTAGTTGTGTAGTGACTATTACAGTTTTTATTTTTTTATGTTTTTATTTCACAATAGTGAAATTTTTGACTTGTTTCAATTATTTTCTTGCTGACCTCAATAACCTCTTAGCTTTTTTTGAGTTATCTGTTTAAATTCAACAAACTAAGCTTCAGTATATATTTTAATCGTCTCCTACTGTAAGGAAAAGAATTCAAACCAATTAGTTTAAATAGCTTCTCTACCACTGTGTAACTTTGGACAAGTTATTTAACTGCCCTTTTCTTATTTTCTGAATTTTTAAAATACTTATACAAGATCAAATCATATAATGTATGTAAAGCATACATTATGTATATAATGTATATAATATTAATGTATATAATGTGTGTAAAGCATACAGGTGTAGTGTGTGCTCAAATTATCAGTATGTAACTGATAATTACTATGACACAGTACTGTCATAGTAATTATCAGTTACCATATTATCAATAATATCACAATATTATCAATAGTAACCATTTCACAACTAGTTTTGCTAAGTATTCCACTATTCTATACTAGAAGCCTGACTCTACATTTTCTCTTTCCATTTGATTAGGTTACTGTTAAATCACTAGTAAGTACTGATGTTATCTCATTGTCTTCCTGTATGTACTTCTTTTTTAAGATTTGTTTGTTTATGCATTAAGAACTAGGGTACAGGCCAGAGGTGTGGGATTCAGAGCCAGAGTGGGGAGCAGAACAGGCAGATGTACTGAAATACACTGTTCAAGGGAACAGCAGGTGCGACAGGAGACCTATGCCATGCCACATGGGTCAGCTCCCTGGCTGGAGTTCGAACTTGTGATGCCGTGGCTTTTTCCCTTAAAACTTCTCCTGAATTATGGAAAAATTTACAGATGATCTCCTATAGCCTTTCCCTTCAATGTAGAATCATACTAGCCTCCCTTAAAACACTCCTCACCATCATTACCATGATAAAAAATCTTGATGCTTCACTATTTTCTACATCAGTTGATCTCATCTTGGGCTGCATAGTAGAAGTACTTGGGGGCCTTTTAAACCTTTCAATGTCCAGATTGCACCTAAAACCAACTAAATATGAACTCTTAAGAGTGGGATCAGATATCAACAGCTTTAAAAGCTTCCAAGTGATTCCAGTTACTGTCAAAGCTTGAGAACGACAGTAGCAGATCAGAACATTTTTAAAAATTATAGCTGAAGAAACCTTCAGAAAAGGAAACAATTCTAGGAAAGGCTATTTCCCTATATAGAGAAACATTTGAGCCTAATGCACATCTTTTAGTCTGGCTTTCAGGCCCTTCATAGTCTGGCCCTACCCTCCCTCTTTTTTGGTCTTGTTTCTCACCATTCCCAGACACCCAATCTCCATTGCTAGAGGCAGTTAGGCTGGTATTGCTGTCTCAAAAAAATTCACTCCCACTAATGCTTCATTGCTTGCAATTTTGAGCATTCTCATATATTCCCTCAACTGATTCATTCCTGAAGCACACAGGTGTAGTGTGTGCTCAAAAACCTCAGTAGATTTTTGAGAATAACAAACTCCTTAGTTTGGCATAAAAGCCCCTTTGTAATCTGGGAATAGATTGCTTCCCTATTCCTAGGTACATTTTCCCTCTATTCGTAGTAATTAATAATCTAAGATACTATAATTTTGCTCCATTTGTAACAAGCAGTGTTTTATATTTTGACTAAAATTTGATGGTCTTTGTCCACTTGGCAGAAAAAATATATATAAAGCAAGTTGAATTAATGATATACTAATGGCTAGGAAGGAACTTGGGTTTAATCTGTTTTCAAGGGCCTCACAATCTAGAGCAGGAAAAGAAACAAACCAGTTCCAACACAAGAGCAGGGGGAGGGTAGAATCAGTGCTAAACTGAACCACCAAGAAGAAATGCTATAAGGTTCCAGATATCATACTGATAATACTGGCAAAGAAAGTTTTCCAACTGATCATAATTCTGAAGAACTTTAGCTTAAAACTGATCAGTTTTAATTAATCAGAGTGCTATTTTTGGGAGATTAACCTGGGGCTTGTATAGAATGGATTGAAAGGTTAACTTGGAGCTTAGAAGTTCAGTTACAAGGCTATGTACTCTTATTATTTTTAATGGGGTTTATTTTTATCTTCCTTTTAAAACCATAAGGTCTTTGAGATCGGAAACACTCTCTTACATTTAGAGTAGAGTTCTTTTACACCACAGGAGCTGAGAAAATATTTATGCATATTATCTTGTTGACATTTATTCATTCACTT